TGCATATGAGACTGGCCTGTACAAACTGTGAGTTGGTATTCTGAGGTCAAGGATTGGGAGACCCTCACTAGAGGCCCTGTCAAACCTTTGTGCTGTAGCAAAACCACTGTGCTGGGAGTCCTACTTGGGTTTGTTCCCTTGGCCCCTCATTTTGCCATCTGCATCTCAGTTTTTATTTGTGAGATAGGGATAAAAATATCTGTCCCTCTTATTATAACCTTAAGTTTCTCAAAAGCAGACTACACTTTAGGAAGCTGTGGGGACAAAGACAGTCGATCAACCAGAAATAAGAAATTCAACAGGTCTTACTTTCTTAGTTCAGCAAAATACACACTGGGGTTGTGAGAGCCTGGTGTTGGTCCTGCCTGTTTCTTGGCTGAGATCTCCAGTTTGTATAACTCAGGGCCAAGGGAGTGGGGTCCCTGACATCTCACTGTCTTGAGAGACATGTTGGGGTCTTCTCCTGTCCAAGAGGTAGCAAGCACTGGCATATTTCTGTGGCCATTCTCTTCCGGGTGGGCCTCATGTCAAGAACACAGCTGTAAAGTCAGCCAGGCCTACAGGTGCACCTGCCTCTCATGCCATCACTGTCTGTCTCTCATCTGGATGACAGCCACAGCCTCCTAGTTTCGTTTCTTGTATATGCCCTGACACCTGCCTATAGGATCTCCCATGGTTCGAGTCTGATTATGTCCTCATGGAAGGTTTGGGTTTCTAAGCTGGGCCGTGACATGCCTATTGGGTGTTTTGCTGATAGCAAAGGCCACAGATTGCCAAGGAGGTATGAGGGCAGGTACCCAGTTGGGAGATAAGTGAGGCCTGTGAAACTGTGTAACACGACAGACCACTGAGTGTGGTTACCCTTACCTCCAAATCTGAGCTGCAACAGGCCAGGCCATATTGACTCTGGTAGCAACAGTCCCCAGTGTCCGTGTCTCTAGCCCTGGACAGCTCCTCTCCCACAACCCCTATTGTGTGCCAAGAGAAGGCTGGCAGGCACAAGCCACTTTCACTTTCATTAAGAAGTGGGACAAACCAACCCAGCTGAGCTGCCTCTGCACTGCAACCTCTGGGACCTGAGAATGCTCCCTGGCTCCCAGGCTAGCACAGTGGCCCTTTCTCCCCATTCCCAATCTCTGTTCCTGAGCAATAATTAACACTCTAGGAAAATGCAAAGCCAGTTCTCCAGAGCTCTGGATCTGGTGCTCTGAGAACCATAGAGCAGTGGGAATGGTGTCCCAAGGGTCCCTGGGGCTGGGAAGGCAGGTGGGAAATCTCTCCAGGTAGGCCAACCTGGGATCTCCCTGGCACTCAGCCAGCCAGTCCTCTTTTGCTCATCATAGGATCTAAATCAGGTGTCCTCAAACTATGGCCCATCGGCCACATGCAGCCCGCCTAGGACATTTATCCTGCCCACCGGGTGTTTTTGCTGCCGCTGTCTGTCCTGCTTAGCAGCTGACTTTTCCCGGGGCCTGCAGTCGGCCCTCTAACAGTCTGAGGGACAGTGAATGGGCCCCCTGTTTAAAAAGTTTGAGGACCCCTGATCTAAATATTCATACATGAATGTAGGTGCAGCATTCACAGGGTCCTCTGTGTACACATTTTCCATTATATCTATTAATAATAGCAGTTAATATCATTTCTTACTATATACAAGAAGGCGAAGGGCTTACGTATATCTCATTTAATCCCCCACAAGAAGGGAGCTTTTCTTTTCTTTTCTTTTTTCTTTTTTTTTTTTTTTGTTGTAGCCATCATTGTTGTTTGGCAGCCCAGGCTGGATGCAAACCAGCCAACTCAGGTGCATGTGGTTGGCGCCTTAGCTGCTTGAGCGGCAGGTACTGAGTCTAAAGGGGAGATTTTTGTTTCCATTTTATAGCAGTAGAAAGTGAAGCACAGAGGTTAAGTAGCATGCCCAAGGTCACAGCTAGTCTGGGATCTGAACCTGGATTATCTGAATTTAGAGTCACTGCATTGATTTGTGCAGAACACAAGTAATCACATGAGGAACAGTAAAAAAGAGCAAGATTTGACTACTCATGTTCCTCTACTTATGGAAAGGGGCCCAGGGATAAGGTTCCATTAGGTCATCTTGAGATCTTTCTCACAGGCTTTCCTGCCATTGGCCACCCCCCAACACATCCCTTGGGACTGGGCTTCCTGGGCACGTGGGGCCAAGGCCTCCTTGGCTTGGATTTGGGAATGGGGAGGAAGGAAGGCTGTGCACAGCCCCCAGCCTCCCCCAGGCCCAGGTCTGTCTCACAGCCCCAAGTCCCCACTTCCTGGGCTGGGCCCTGTCATTCCAAGAGCTTTACAGGGTGTCCTTGAGAGATATTTCCTGGTGTTTCTGCTCAAACAGCGTTTGCTGCAAAATATGTTGAAGCATTTGGGCTTTGGTTTTCAGTTAAGAATATGCCAATGTTTTCATTTGGAAGGGGAAGTGTTTCTGTTTATATGGTAAAGAGATAAAATAAGATGTTCTTTACCAAGTTACACTGCTTGAAAGTCAAATGCTTGGCTTGAAGACAGGGATTTATCTTGAGATCATCAGGGACCAGCTCATGGCTTGGCAGATGGACAGGAAAAGACCAACATTTGTTGAATGACTGAATGAGGGAATATACAAGGGGCCTAAAACTAGGAATGGTATGAAATCAGTACTCAAACAGATTTTGAATGGATCTCATAGGTTTTACCTCTGATAAGAAATCTATGCATTTCTCTACCTTCACTAATCTTGTCTTATCCAAGCCTCTGTTATCTCTGGCCTGGACAACTAACAGCCTCCTACTTGGCTTCCTTCTTTCCACTCTTGCCCCTTCAGCCTATTCTGCCCATAACTACCAAGGTCATCTTCACAAAATGGGAATTGGATAGTGTCCTCCCCTGCTAAAAACCTTTCAATGTCATTGCAGTGCTTTTGGTCATGGCCTCCCCTGTCCCTCATGGTGTGACCCCCACTCACCCTGCTCATGGGGCTGCTCTCTAGCCTCGCTGGCCTCTTCTTAGCTGCTGGAAGAGCCCAACCCAGGGTCTTAGCACTAGTGGGTCCCTCTGCCTGAATGGCTTTTCTCTGCATCTTCACGTCTGCCTCCTCCTATCAAACTAGGGCCCAGCTCAAATGTGTCAAATCCTCAGAGAGGCCTTCTCTGACCTCCCTAACTAAACCAGCTCATCTCTATTTTCCTGTTTCACCTGCTTGAGATGTCTACCGCAGATAGATGCCTGGTGCTGTTCTAAGTGCTGAAGATACAGCAGCAAACACCATAGGGAAAACCCATGTCTTTCTTACATGGCTTCACAGCTCTTAAAAAATTTGAGTATCTTGTTTGAGTACCTACTAGTTTTCCTCACCGGATGCCAGGAGGGCCAAAGCTGGATCTGTCTTGCTCACTGCATTTACTCACTCGGCATAATATTGAACAAATACTCATTTGTTCAATATAAGAATGAACAGAAAGCAGGCAGGAAGGCTGGGTAGGTGCACAGAGTAGCTGGCACACGCTCCCCCTGGCACTAGGCTCTTAATAAGATCTTACTGAGCTTAATTTTCTTCAAAAAAAATCTCATTGTTGACCCTTTAGGGAAACCTTGTACCCCTAGCTCTGCTGCCAGCAAGTCATGCCCACCTTGCATTATCCTCTGCAACAGACTGTTTCCCCTCAAAATTCCTATGTTGGAACCCTAATCCCAATATGATGGTATTAGGAGGTGCCACCTCTGGGAGGACTCCACCTATGGCAGGGGGAACTGTCCTTGTGAATGAGATTATAAGAACTACAAGAAGTACAGGTTTTCTGTTTAAGCCATCCAGTCTGTATTATTCTCTGACACTATCCTGATCTATGACACCCTCTGACGATGGTCATCTTGGCAAGGACAGACAACACAAAAGTGGGGCAAATTCAGCTTGTTTGGGGTAAATGGGATCAGTGTTCATTTTCCAAAAGGAGGCCTACCCACTTCTTCATATCCCTCCTTCATTGTCATGCAGGCCCCATCCAGGTGATACTCCAACACCTCCAACACCATCTAGCTTGGGGTGGGGGGGAGGGTGAGCCAAGGAGTCCCTGACTGCCCTTTAAACCCGCCAGTCTGACAGCTGCTGACAGCTTCCCTGACACGCATGTTCTCTCTCCTCTAGTCTAGCTGCCTCTCTTCCTTGCTAGGTGACTTTGACCAAGTCTTACTCCTTCATTTCTCTACCTCAAACACTCAAAACGTGGTGGATGCAAGCTCCCTGGTCACAGCCCAGAGACAGGACTTTAATACCTCAGTACAGTGCTCCTGTGGTCCCTTCTCCTTCTGATCCAAAAGCCTTTTAAGGTCTTGCAAACACTGCAGACAAAGCCAACTCCAGCACCAAATACCCCCCTCCCCACTCCCCGCTTGTCTGTTCCATGAAGGCAGCCTGCAAAACTGCCAGATCTGAGCTGCAGAACTGGTGAGCTGGGGCACCCTGAAATCTGACTCCAAAACAGCAGCAAGCCCAAGGCCAAAAGGAAGTACAAGGTTCTTTGCTAAAGGTGTCTTCTCCCACAGCCTTGGCCTGGGGCCCCTGCACTCAATCCCCACCCTGTCTCCCAACTTCTTCCGAGACCTCCACGTCTTTATACACCCAGGACCAGTGAGGATCCCCAAAATTCCAACGTCACCATCAAAAAGATGAGGATGGGGGGAGGAGCTGATGCCTCTACTTCAAATGGAATTAGGTGCCAAGGCTTTTTCCATAACGTGTGAGGGTAAGTCCCATGACTACCCTAAGCATAACTTAGGCTCTGGGTCCTCTCCCACTTCAGCTGTTGTCTCCTTGGCTGAGTGAAGCTTTCCAGCTCCCACTAAGGGTTTAAGAGGGGTCGGTGCCTTTCCTGACATCCAGTTAGACCTGGAGGAGGTGCACGGAGAAGTCCCAAGCCTAGGAGAGGGGTGTGTGTCCAGCCTGGGGGAGCCTCCCTTTCCCTTCCCAAGCCACCCTCGTCCTGTGTAGAGTGGGCACTTACAGGCCTCGGAGGCGGGGAAGAGCCTCGTCCTGGGGTCCCATCCCCATCCAGACGGTGCCCCGAACCAGCAGTGGCGGCATGATCTGGGCAGTTGGTTCAGCCCCGAGGGTTGCGGCTCGTAGACGGGAAGGGAGAACTGGCAGTTAAGACCCTATTCCAAGTACGCATCGAAGACGTCGAGCTCCGAGTCAGCATCGTAAAGGCCTGAGCCGGGGTCGGAGAGCACGCCGAGGTCCACGAGTGCCTGGTCCATGTCCTCCGGCAGAAAGACAAGGCCCACGTTGAGGACGATGTACTCCATGAGGAAGGCGTAGTACAGGATCAGCACATTGACGAAAAACAGGCCCACGTAGAACATAGAGGGCAACAGCGGTGGCGGCACGTAGGGGACCAGGGGGCCCAGGGCGTCCAGGTGGGCCGCGACCCGGGCACCGGGCATGCAGGGGATGGGGAGGGCGGCGGCGGCCCGGCGATCCCAGGGAGCTCAGCCGCTGCGGCGCCTGGGCGGCCGGCGAGGGGACCGCTCAGCCATCCAGGGGCGCCCCAGGGGTCGACAGAAGCGGCGCTGGGCCCCAGGTGCCCCCCTGCGGATGTGCCCTGACCTCCCAAACGTGCCGGGCGGAGTCAGCTCACCGGCGGATGTGCCCACAAGGTCCCCTCCACCACCCGGTGGCCAGGCAGTCCCTCCTGGAGTGGCCGGCGGCTGCCCTGCTCACGCTCACAGGCTCTCGCAGCGCCGGCGGGGACCCCACCGCGGTTCAGCGTCGAGAGCCAGTCCCAGCAGCGGTCTTTCCCGTCCAGCCCTGCAGTTCCTCGCGCATCCTGCGCGCCCCCGCAGGCCCAGCGCCCATGGCTGCAGCCGCAGCCGCCGCGTAGCTCTGGGGTCCGGTTCAGAGCACCGCCTCCGGAGCGGCCTTGCACTCATTGGCCCGCTGCCCCCTGACCGCGCTCATTGGCCAGCTTAACGCCCGCGTTCATTGGCCTGAGCATACCCGGGGGCGGGCACCGCTTCGCTCCGCCCCTCGTGGCGCCAGCTTCTGACTTGCTTTGCGGGTTCCGGATTTGCGCTAGAATCTCAAATCCGATTCACTCTACCAAGGAGTAGGGTCCAGGGAGTAGGGGGAGAGAAAAGGGACTGAACAAATTCAAACCTCAACTTATCCTAAGATTATAAAAGTCAAAAGAAACTACGGGCTTTTTCTGCACCTTGCAGAACTGGGAAGGAGCCACTCCTCTTTGGGACTCAGTTTCCTTTCTGAAAGGAGGCGGGTGGGGATCGTCGGAGAACAGTTCCACTGAAAATCTTGGATAATACCCAAAGCGCCAGTTTTCATGATGGAGCTCATATCCTTTGCTTCTCCATATGCTGGCAGCTGAAAGGTCTGCCCCTTGGGGGATCCGCATCACAGAGTTTTGCAAACACCTGAATAAAGAGATTTCCAGGTAGTTCAGACCTTCAAGCCATGAGGTTGCTTTTCGTTTGTTTTTCTTTGTAAATCATGTTTAAACACAATAATAATGCATGTGGCTAAACATTCAAACAACCACGAAGAGCACGGAAAAGTAGGTCTCTCCTGCCTGCTGATTGCCCTGCTCTTGGGCACCTGTTTTACACCCTTTCCCAAACTAACCCTGCCCAAAGCGCCTTCCAAAGCAGTTCAACGAAACTTTAAATCTCAGGTCACACTCCAACTGGGTAATATGTATGCATTATGTAATTGGAGGCAGAAGATGTATTGTAGTATGTTACCCCCTTTTACAGATGAGGAAACCAAACCCAGAAAAATGGAGGGGCAGTGGATGCTTTGAGGGTCCGGAACTTGTCCTTTACTCTCCATGACTTTCTCTTAGCCCCTCTGTATGAATTACAGGGCAAACCATTAACCTTCCACAAGTCTCCATTTCTGAGCTTAAGGTGAAATAAACCTTCACTCATTTATTCACTCTGCCAATAATTGTTGAACACCAACTATGTGCCAAACCTTGTGCTAGCCATGGAGGAGGAATTGACCCTGACCTAATTTTTTCGTGAAAAGAGTTAATGGGTCACACTAGATCTGAAATCTGCCCTCACTGAGCTTCTAATCCAGGAGAGAAATTTATATATATTTTGGCTCATGTAGAAAGTTTGGTCTTTCCTTTTTCTTTTTAGTGTGGTAGTTTGGGAAATGGCATGGATTTTGGCTGAAAACCAGACAAATCCTCTGAAAGTACAAGATGTTCAGTTTAGTACATTGTTGCTTGTAGGCTTTTCCAACACACATACGCACACACACGTACACAGTCTCCGTGGAAAAAGGAAAAAGCTGCGAAGACAAGGCAGTTACAGAATTGTTGCAGTTCTGCTTTACTGGGAAGGTATAAAAATAAGGGTGCAAGAGTAGGAGCCTTGGGTGGGTATGAGCCACCTATCAACTGCATGACCTTGAGTAAGTCAACCTCTCTGTGACTCAAGTTTCCAAATGGGAATAATAATTGTACCTATCAATAGTAAGGTTGTTGTGAGAATTAAATGCCTTAACATACGTAAAGCACTTAGGACAGTGGTACACAGTATAAGCTATGCAGTACGTATTCTAATCTTATAAAGCTAATTAACGAATTATCAACATCGTGGAGACTAACCTCCACTTATCCTCACCAATTTCTTCTCCAGGTCTCAGCTCACAGGTTTTCCAGTCCCGCCCAACCGGACGATTCTGTGGTCCTCCGCACCTCTTGCCCCTCCTCTTCTCAAAGGCCGCAGGCCCGCGGTTTCGTGATGTGTGCCGGATCTTGTAGTCCGTTCGCAGAGTCCCGTCGCCAGGGGCTTCGCGCGTGAACTGCATTTCCCAGCATTCCTAGAGACGGTGGCCGTAAAGCGCGGTGGTCGAACGGCCGGTTCCGGGGGAATGTCAGTGCGGGGCTGTGGGCCGGGGAGGAAGGTGGTTGGCTGTCCCTCCACCGCCTCCTCCGCTGCCTCCTCCGCTTGTGCTGCTGCCGCCGGCGCTGGGCCGCTGGGCTAGTCAGGCATGAGACGGTGAGGCGAGCGACGAACCGGGACCGCCGACATGTTTGGCCGCTCGCGGAGCTGGGTGGGCGGGGGCCATGGCAAGTCCTCCCGCAACATCCACTCGTTGGACCACCTCAAGTGAGTGTATGAGGGGTGGAGAGGGGAGGCCGCGGGGCTGGGCATGGGGATAGGGGGTTAATAGATCCGGGCTGGGAGGTGTGTGAGCGAAGGTAGTGGACGGAGAGGGGGGCCCGGGGAAGGTTGAATGATGTTAAGAGCGAGGACTCTGGAGTCAGAGCGCCTGAGTTCGAACCCTGACCCCGTCGCTCCTGGCTGTGTGACCTTGGACAAGTCGCTTAGTTTCTCAGAGTCTCAGTATCTCTGCCTATAAAGTAAGGGGATACGATTTCAGTTTATGGACGAGGACTTTGTTTTTGCCGGTGACAGACAGTGGCCACCACGCCTCCTTGGGTGGTACTTCTTAGACTGGACAGTTTAAGAGTCAAAGGCCTGAATCCCGGAGTTGGGCAGATCTAAGTTTGAATATAAGTGTGTAAATTTAGGCCTCAATTTCCTCACTTGTAAAATGGGTAGAATGACAGCACCTGCTTCCTGTAATTGTTTTGAGGGTTGATTGGATAAGAGGATGAACATAAAAGCTCAGAACATGTTTTAGTCCTCAATAAAGAGCAATAATTAAAAGGACAAAGTATATTCTTGGGGGGAGACTAAGCAAGGAATAATCAGAAATAGAACCTGTGGGAGGTCAAGTGGCAAACAGGGCCCTGGGAAGCAGGAGTGCCCAGAGGTTGAGACTAGCTCTGCAGGCAGACCTGCCTTCACATTCTTAATCCACCACTTAGTGGTTGTGTGGCCTTGGACAGATTACTTCACCTCTGTGAGCCTCCATCTTTCCATCTGCAGGTGGGGATAATGCACATTGTACAACAATTCAGTAATGTCATGCTGTGTTTATCAGTTCTGGCAGGGCCTTCCTAGACCACCATAGCTAAACTGGCCTCTTATCCCAATTTCTTTCTGCCATATCTTTCTCTCGATTTCATTCAGTACCCCACTGGTAGTTTCAGGGGGATAGAGACTGCTTGGTTTGTTCACAGCTGTATTCTCAGCATCTACCTCTGCACCTGGCACACAGTAGGAGCTCAATGGATTCTTAAAGAATGAAAAATGAATGAATGATTTGGGGAGAGGTGCAGAGCATACAGGCTGAGACCCAGGATTTGGAGGCAGGTGGGGGGTGTGTGAAAAATTGGGACCTTTGAGGAGGAAATGATTTTAGGGAGGAAAATGTTGGATGAGTTTTCAGAAGGGGGAAGTAGGCAGACCTTTAGTGTTAAGAAATAGCTTCTGAGATTACTAATGAGAAAGAAAAAGAATGGGTGGGGGTGTGGCAGGGAAAATGGAAGGAAAGATTGGTTAATCAGATGGGGGGGCTTCTTGTTTGACCTCAGGGTGAATTGTGTGCTGTGATTCTCAGCTGTGTCCTTTCTAGCATGGAGTGGCATTTAATAAATATTTTGCGAGTCACCAAGATTGAGGGGCTGGAGGGTTCATTATGTGGTGAGGGGACTGTTTGGGGGAAGGTGGTGAGAGAAGACAAGAGGAGGAAAGAGGCTTGGACAAGAATGGGGGTGGATAGGGAGGCAGGAATCTTAAATGGGAGGGGCAGCTGGCCGGGAAAGGGAGAGACTAAAAGATTTCAGGAATTTATTGAGTGGGCAGATGTGGCTGAGAAGGGGAGGATGGTTATCCAAAGAAGGCTGGGCCTCCTGCCAATACCCAGGTACCTACAGGCTCTTACCTAACTCTGCCCGACTCTGGTCTTTTAAAATTACTGTAATAGTTATTGACTGCTTTATTCTGTTTGAAGTACTTGCTAAGGACTTTCTGTGTATTATTTCTGTTAGTCCTCAAAGATCTATGAGTTGTAGGAACTATTATGCTTCCATTTTACAGAAGTAGAAACTAAGGCTCAAGGTGCTTAAGTCATTTGCCGCAAGGTAATAACAGCTAAGGAATGTCTGTAGGACTTGCACTTCTTACACTGTCTTCCCGAATAAAACTTCCTGATAGGTGAGTTTGGGGACACTTTTGACTCGGCTGAGTTCTAATTATCAATAGGGCATCTTTTCCAGCTGGCCAGCTGGGGGATAGTAAAGGTCCTCAGATTCCTTTGTAGTATCCTGGGAAACTGCTGAGGTTCATCATGTGTCTGTTGGGTACTTTGGAAACCTGAGCTGCCTGTCCTGGATGAAACGGATCAGTTTAATCCATATTACAGCCAGAAGAACCCGAGATTCATACATTAGTGGGAGGCTTAGAAGAGTTGCAGGTAAAGTGGAAAAGAGTGTCATAAAAGCCAGTGCCCACCCCAGTGCTTGTGCTGCTCTTATTTTGACTGTGTAGTAAACATATTGAGTCTTGAGTACAGAACAGCTCATTCCCTGAGAGTTTGTAGGCCGGTGGGGGAGACAGCCATAGAGCCAGTGGCTGTGCCGTATGACAGTGCTGGGAACACCGTAGGCTCAGGGCTCTGTAAGGAACCCTTCTTGGATAGGTGGGAGTCACTGTCTGAGATAGTGGGGTGTGGAGGGAGAACACCATAATCAGGACCCTGGGGCTTATGGCATGTTGAGGTAGGGTCTGGTAGTTGTAGGAGAAAGAGTTGGGATTTATCTGACATTTAAGGTGGCCCACCATCCTGGTTTGCCTGGGACTGAGGAGTTTCCTAGGACATGGAACTTTCAGGACTAAAAATGAGAAAGTATTGTACAAACTAGTATAGAATGGTCACCCTACCAGTGACAAGTGAGAGTTCTTAATACAGTCTTACTCTGACCTAAAGCAGTAGGAGAGGAGAGGTTAAGATATGTAGGCAAATTTAGAATTGATAATTTGTATCTGGGAACCTTCCTCTTTTAATGGACTTTATTTTTTTAGAACAGTTTGAGATTTATAGAATGATTGAGACGATAGTACAATAAGAACTAGAAACCCTTTTTAAAACACATTATTCTTCTTAACGCTCCTGGCTTGCAAACTGGAGAGAAATTTTCCTTTTATGGTTTTGCTTTTGTTAAATAATGGAAAACTGTGTCCTTGTGGTCTTTGTCTACTTAATTAGTGATTTAGTTGAGGCAAATTTAAGTAGTGAAAAGGTTATTTCCTCTACATCATGGGTGTATTGGCAAGGTTGTGTATTGACTGACAGATGGTCACCACTAAGTAGAAAAGCTTTGCTGATGGAGTCGCGTGATTGCTACTGAAATATTATTTTTACCAGGGACTGCATGTTTACTGCTTGTAGAACTTGGTTGTTGTGTGTTGTGCTGTTGCCTTCATTCTGGTCATCTTTATGTGATGGCCAAGATTCTTAGTTGCAAATGACAGAAACCCAGCAGGAATTGTCTTAAGTCCCAAATGGAATTGGATAGCTTCTGTCACTGAGTAGTCTGTCCTGGCTAAACCGTGACTGAATACAGATATTTAGACAAAGCTGTCAGGAATCTGCCTCTTTCCATCTCTCAGCTCTGCCTCCTTCTGCATTGGTGTCATTCTCAGGCAGGCTCCAGGCTTGTTTAGTAAATCTCTGGGGAAAAGAGAGCTTCCTTTCTTAGTATTGCCAGCAGAAGTCTAGAATTGAGTGGTTTGCACCAACTGGAGATCTCATGCTATTCCTGAGCTGTCACTGTGGCCAGGTATACACAGTACTCGGGTTGGCCAAGTCTCTAGCCAGGTTGGGATGAACTCCACCATGCTAGTGGACAGAGGTTGAGAGAAAAGGGTGGTTCTCTATGGGAGAAGGTGGAGAATGTATGCCCAGCAGGTAGCTGCTCACCTACTCTTGGTATATTCAACTTTTGGCTAAGATGGTACTGACAGTTTCAGAGCTGGGGGTACAATATTGCCATATTGATTTTCAAATATCACATTCGCTAAATGACACATAATGGGTCCTAGATACTCATTGTGTCTTTTGGGATTTCAAAGTGTTTCAGACTCTGTTCCCACTCATCCACTTGGAGTATGCGGGATCAAGGAACATTCTTGGTTGGCAGATAGCTGTTTAAATGGAGCCCTGGATGAGTCATTGTTACCAGGTAGTAGGGGGTCAAAGGAAAGAAGGATGTTTCAGGCAGAGAAATGGCACTGGAGAAAGCCAGTGTGTGTGTGTGTGTGTGTGTGTGTGTGTGTGTGTGCAGGGAGATCAGTGCACATTGGCAGAACTCAGGTGGTTCAATAAGGGAGTATACATGGGGTGAGGGGGAGTTGTAGGACCCAAGTGCAGTGCCATGCAGTAGAAGAGGTCACCAGAGGGCAAGTCCCTCTGGGCCTTGTAAATTGAGTTAAGAATTTGCACATTAGAATACAAACAGTGGGGAGCCATTGAAAGTTTTTAACCAGAGAATGCTGTGGTCACTGAAGTTTGCAGAATGGATTGGAAGAGGGCCAGACCATAGGTGGGTATCTGCTTCAGGGGCCGCTGCCCTCTTCTGGTGAGTTGTGGGAACTGGCCTCCTGCAATCCAAGATGCTGCTGCTCCCTGGCACACACCACACACCTCACACACTCACCTGAGCCTCCCTCCTCTTCCTCCCCACACAAATGCCAATTCCCTAAAAATTGCTTGCTCTGGTGACTTCTTTTTAGACTTTTTTCTAACTTCTCTTGTACTTGTTCTCATTTTCCCCCTCAGTTATCACATTATTATATACTGTGTTCTCTTGGCCAAGAAGTGGACCAGCTGTTAGATCCTATAGGTTCTTTAAGCTTCATCTCAGCCTTGAATCAGATCCCCAGGAAGCTTGCAGGACTCCTTGAATGTCCTTTTGCCATCAGAAATTATCTTACTCTGTTATCTATCTTTTTTTCTTTGTGAATTTGAACAGAAGCTCCATGAAGTCCTGTGTGACTTGTTCAGCTGGGTCTAGTTAGATGCTAGCACAGGGCCTGGCAGATAATAAACAATCAACAAATATTTATCACAGGATACATGAAACAGGCAAGTTCCAGCTAGCCTTATCTTAACAACTGCTAGCTCTTACCAGTTTGGTGCCTATGCGGGAGCTGTGACTTTCTCTAGGGTTGAAAGCTCTGCCTACACTCTCATTGTGTAA